ACTCAGTCTTGCATGTTCATGGGAGAAATCTTTACAACCAAGACTTCAGTTCACACACACACAAAACCACAGTGTTCAGTATTCACAAACAAACAAAACCAAAAGTTCTAGTGATTTTTTTTCTTCTTCAACTTCAGTTTTTATTAGCACTTTAGCTTCATTTTCTCATGGACTCCAGGTCAGTGTCAAAATCTAGGTGAAACAGCCATTGAAGCCAATGGTAAAGCTCCCACTGAAATTAAGGGGTTTATCTCATCAGCACAAGTCTTGCTGACAGCCTAAGAAAATCCATCATCATTGGTCATTGGTATTTGAGTACCAACACAAAGAGAATTTTACATGAGAACAAGCAAAGCAGTGGATCCAAAATGTGAAGCATTACTTCACAGTATTCAATGTTATACCCAAATTTCAATAAAATTGATGCCACTGTACTAGAAATGAATCAGGAAAGAGATACCATTAAAGCTATGGAAAAACCATAATGATTTCTTTCTTCTTCTGTGACCAGAACAATGGAAATCAGCCCTATATTTGAAGTGGTCTGAAGATTTGCATGTGTTAAGCCTTATTTTAAACTCCCAGCCTGTTTGCCCTACATTTACTTATTAGAGAAAAACACCCAATGCTGGTATCTCATTGTTCCACATCTATACCTTACTAGTAGTTGCAAAAGCAGTTTTCTTCTGGGTCATTAAAAGTGTGTGCAGGTACGTGGAATATTTTTTAGGTAAGCAATCAGAAATTAAGGGCAGATTGCTGTCTCAGGTAAAAGTAACATATTCATTCTGAGAATTTTTCCTGGGCTGTTGAAGACTGTGGATAGCATTTTCTAGTTGGGTTATGTTACTTTATGTACCTCTCACTTTTCAGTACAATAGCAGATAGTGAATTTTGTAGAATTTTGCAGAAGTAAATTCTCCACATATTCTGGGGAGGGAAAAAAAAGGAAAAAAAACGATACCACTGCTTAGAGAAAAGCCTGGAAGTGAAAGTGACAAGAGTTGTTTTGTTGACCTGTAAACAATGAAACCTAATAAAACAGCAAGACGACTAATGGATACTTACGACTCTTGAGCCGTACCAGGAAGTCCCACCAAAAAGTTTAATATGTGTCAGCTCACTTTAGAAACAGTGTCACAGAACACTATTTGTATTAGATAAGACCTGTTCCCTTTCTGCGTCATCAGTACCAAGGACAGTTGCAGGAGAAATTCAGGACATGGAAAGAACTAAGCTACCTACCTCCAGATGCAATTACCTATCTCTATCTACAAATCCCTTGCTTAAACACATGGTTGCCTGAATCTGAAGTGTTTCAGGACTAAACAAAAAACACCAGTTTAGTCTAGTACCCCAGGGTACTGAATGAATACATTTGAAAGTATGTCAGTCTAATATAGAAGGGGGTACATAGTTCGGCAGATCAAGGAGAAGCTGTGGAAAGAAACAGGAAAATTAAAAGACTGATGCAAGCAAAATACGTCTCTTGATTCTGCTTTCAGCAACATCAGGGAATGCTGATAAAGAAAAGCCAGAATTCTGGAGTCACACTGGGCCATCTTAGATGTTAACACAGAAAAATAAAATTTCTGATTGTTCTCCTCTTTCCCTGAGGATTACCTCCTTTTAGGACAACAAAAAACTCAAAATCAACTCTGAATCTCAATTTAACATTTTCAAACAGTGAAATATTTTATGAACAAGTCCTGCTAAAGGAATCTTTTGACAACAACAAAAAATATCTTCATACACAAGATGAATATAATAAAGTCTGTCACCATTTAGGAAATAAATGTCAGAAGGGCCAGTTTCTATGTCTTAGTTCTCCCTTTATTCCTTCAAGAATATGTTCAAACAAGAATGACAAACTGTTCAGATTTTGTGTTTGAATCATATTACAGAGCAAACAAGCTCTCTGCTGAGTATAAAACGCCTTGCATTTTATTTAGTGCTACTCAGTATTTTAATTAGCCTTGTCTTTTGCCTCAAATTTTTGGCATATATATTACTTTAGTGCTAGAATGAAATTTTAACAGGTAAAGCCCTACCTGCTCCAAGAAGATGAAAATTGAACCATCTGGTAGGTGAAATAACTGGGGGGGCTTGAGATTGATTTTGCACTCTTTCCATCTCAGACTGATGTGCAAAGAGACAGTGCAAAGAGAACAGTACCCAGGAAAGAAGAAACAGCTGAAAATTTACATTGCACATGAACTTGTCTGAGTATGGAGAAATCTGTAGTGGAAGAATGGTGATTAACAGCACCTAAGCTATGCCATTATTAAGACTCTCCTGAACTGTGAGGTAACAACCTAATTTAGCATCCATCTTCTAATAGTTGTTCTAACTACCTGCAAGCCACTCCTGAGCCCTGGCATCCCTATGTCCTAGGACCTTGACAGCCTGCTATCCTAAGAGATTAACAGAATTTAGTTACAGCGGAAGATGTGGTGGGGACATTATAATTAAAGCACATTACTAAATTTTTAGACTGGTAGAGTGACAGCTCTTGCCAACAATGAGGAGGCAAGAAGGTACAAATGCTTAAAAGAACAAGTTAAGAGCAATGAACAGTTCAGGGGAAAAAAAGAGAACTACTAACCATGAAGAATATACACAAAAGTGTTTTTGATCACTATCTCCAAAGGCAGAAACGTAAGGGACTAGGGACAAGCACTGATAATGAAAAGTGACTGAAGATGATGACTCATACGAAGAGAGATGGAAAATCTTGTGAGTGCATAGTCCTGAAGCAAGGCCAAAAAAAACTGCTCCAAAGGAAAAATAATTCTCATATAGTCAATAACTCATTGGGAAATAGTTTTTATTATAAGGGAAAAACCTTTTTCCCAGATGCATAATCTGCCACAGGTATCACAAAGGCTAAGAGCTTAATAGGACTCTACAAAAGAGTACCATAAATACAGACACCATTATCTTTAAGCAAAGGTAAATAATGATAACCCATGCTCATCTTCATTTCTCTGAACTTAAATCAACAGTCAAATGAAAGCAAATCTCACAGTTGGAATACTTTCACAATGCAACAGGGAACAGTGCAGAGGCCTGTGATCAAGCACTGATCTAAGCTGGCCTTGCTGATGGCCAGGGCACACCAGTACAGAAAAAAACAGGGCCAGAGCACTTCTCAGCTGTAAGTGTGAAGGAAGTGCTTATGCCCTGAAGCACCAGGCATCGACACTACTCCCAGTCCTGGATCTAGTTCAGTCAATGGAACTCGTCTGATCCCAGCCACAGTCTATGCATCCCTGGTAAAGATGCACACACTGAGACCGAAGCCTTCAACAACTATTCATTAATTCAGCTTTGCACTAATCTCTGAAGTCGCTGATATTGACCACTGCCAAAGCAAAGATCATGTGAACACCTACAAGTTGCTTGGCATTACACTGTAAGTAATTTCCAAGGGTACATTTAATAAATACTTTCTGAATGCATAGACCTGAGCAAACAACCATCCTGTGTCTTCTAGGAAACTGTTTATCTTTGCAGAAAAGTTTGCAATTTCCTGTGCATGAGTCAACTGATGGTCTCTGAGCCCAGTTCCTTCCTATGCACACACGCAGAGTATAGACCCACTGCTTTCATTCCACTAAAAAACTGCCCAGGAGCTTCAATTTGAACCTACCTATCATCCACAGTCAGAAATTGCAAATGGTACCTTCTGAAACTAAAATGACAACTCTAATGGAGCCCACAACTTAAAGTCTGAAAGATATTCTGAAGAAAAGGTTATTAAATACTGAAGAGGAGATGGTTGCAAAGGAGGAGTCTAAAATGCTATTTTTACAACACTGATCTGATATAGCCAGACTGTGTGTAGACACAGTCTGGGCAGGTTTTAAAACCTTATAGTATACTTAAGCTTATCTGCTCAAGGCAGCAGAGACATCCAGCTAGGTCACACCAACTCAGCTGGGGTCTCTCTACCCCAGTGTACAAAAGAATATTCTTGATGTTCATGTGCATCCAAAACCAGGTGAAGATCTGAGCAGACACCCTGCAGTTCAGAATTTTTTCCTCAAGCACAAGCTCCCATGCCAATAAAACGGCACCTTGCAAATAACAAAGACAGAAGTACATTGTTCTGCTTAGCAAACGAAATCTTGACTAAATAGCAAGAGCTGAAAGAAGGTAAGAAACCTAATTACTACAAAGAAGCAGTAGTAAATATGCTCTCAAAGGAAAACACACAGCTGTCTACCTGAAGCCAGTGCCCAACTTACAACGCCTTTCCAAAGTGGCTCATGCATCTTTCTAAAGCCATTTTCTGGTTTCATTTGTGCAGCCTGGCAAAGTTAAATTTTAGGTTAAATTAAACCATGTACACAGACTTTTCCACTTCAGTGCCTCTCACCCTCAGAGAGGGAGTCTTTTTACATTACAAAAGTGTTAATTTTTACATTAATGCTTCCTTGTAGTTTCTATGGATGTGCAAACACATTAAACTGGATAGTTTTAGTCATTCCAGTACAGATTTATTACCTGGGTTGGTAAAAGTGGAAGGGAGCTTCTCCTCTTACAGCTTTCATGTGTAACAGAAGACAACTTGTTATCCATGAAACTGGGCCTTAGTAATTATTTTTCAGTCTCTCATATTTGTCTAAGGAGATACATACACTGTCACGTTAAGGAATTTTGAAAGAGATGATTGTGTACAGATTCTGAGATTTGTAGACTCAGGAAACAGAGAAATAAGTTTATGTCTGCTCTTCGGTCTGACTATGAAGTGGTAAAGGAAAGTTCACAGTTGCCAGTGGCAGTTTTTAGATTTCCCAAGCTGCTTCTCTGAAACAGGACTAAGAGTACAACCATTTCATCACACTTCAGTGACAAACTCATTATCAAACCAAAACTGTTGAACCAAGATGAAGAGAGATAATTTCTCCAGAAAATCTGAATTATCACCTTTTTCTCCTTTAAATGATTAAGAAAACTCTTCTAATAATCATACAAAGTTTTCATTTTTGTATTACCTGGTTGAATAATTCCAGTAACAACAGCGATATATTCCTCAGGTTTCTGATCAGTGGAAATCTCCTTGCTGCCTCCATCTAAGGTCAGTATCTCATAAAGAATCCTTGAATTCTCCACCCCACAAAGCAGAATTACCACATTTTCCAGAGGTTTTAGAACTTGTTCCAGGAAATAACATCTCTCTTGATCCAGGCAGTTAATAAGTCCACACGAGAGTATCAGGAGTTTACATTTATAAGAGAGTAAACAGAATAGCTTCTGGTGCTTGAAAGTTGCAGTCTCTAGATTGTAGAGTAAGATTCCTCCTTCCTTCACTATGTGTCCAAAGAGAGATTTTAAATACAGTGCCCACTCTTCTGCTTCTTGTTCATATATCACGAGGATATCCTTCGTATCTTCTAGAGAGAAGAAAACATTTTTAGAAAATAAATTCAAATGCATTTTAGATCCATTATAAATATCAGAAGACGTATCATTAGTTTCCCCCCCTATTAAAAACCTGAGGTACTGAAGAAATCACCTTCCTTCAGAAATCACCTTGAAATGACAACCATGTCCTTATTTTTAAAACCAAGGCAGAAAGATTTTCCACAGAAATACTGGGAAAAAAAATGGCTCAGAATATTATATGTTTAGAATAGCTTCAACTAGTATTTCAGAATACATACTGAAATTGCAATGTAGGAAGCAGAGCACATTCACACATTCTGCACACTCCTAGTCTTGACAATAGGTGATACTATTAAAAATGAAACCCTTGGCTTTTAATGGTATAAGTAAAGAAAAGTTTATTAAAGGTTCGACTGCATTTCTTTTCCACTATATTGATTTTTACATATGAGAAAGAAAGCTTTACTTGTGTAAGAAAAGGGATTGAAATACAGTCTTAAGCTGTGCCAGGGGAGGTTTAGGTTGGCTATTAGGACAAAATTTTTTACAGAGAGAGTAATCAGACACTGGAATGGGCTGCCCAGGGAGGTGGTGGATTCACTGGCCCCAGAGGGTTTTAAGATGAGGCTGGATGTGGCACAGAGTGCCATGGTCTAGTAACCATGGTGGTAGTGGATCACGGATTGAACTTGATGATCTTGGAGGTCTTTTCTAACCCAGTTGATTCTATGATTCTATATCCAACACTACATTTGATGGAAGAAAGGCTCTGCAACACACATCTCATAAAGCCTTAATTTAATAGGGTTTCCATATTTAGTTTGTCTTTTCTATCTATATACAGCGGGAAGAGTCATACTGCTGAGGAGAGACTCACACAAGCAAGGTTTTCCATACTACAGTATAGTGCAATGTCTATTGAAGCAAGCAGCTAACGCTATTAAGTTACCTGCGAGAAACCAATGTAGATTCCTCTTGAATTATAAGCATGTTTGTGTTTTCCCCTGCCACTGATTTGCCCTGTATTAAGAGTTGACTTCAATATTAAGCATGAATGTAAGGCCTACAACTTCGCCTAAATTGGATTAAAAGGTGAAATATCACTATTTTGAAATGCTTTCTTAACTTGAAATGTGATGTCCTCTATCAAAATCTACTCCGTGTACCTGTAACTTTCCCCTGTTGCCCATTGTTTTTGCCTTCAGAAATTTTACTAAGATACACATGCTTGAAAGCAACTTACTTGAAAATTCAAGCCCACCAACACTCTGCTTTCAGAACAGTATTACTTCAGTCTGATACAAAAAGACTCTAGCTTTAATGCAACACTAACCAACACTGAATACACAGTACCAATGCATAACTTTCAACTAGACTTTTTTCCCCTTTATTATTTCTGTATCTTACTGAATAATTCTTTGAAGTTACTGCACTTGGAATATAATGTGAGATTAATTTTGTTCCCTTGAAAGTTAATGTAATAGAAACTATCATATCCTGACAAAATTAAGCTGTGCTTCAACTGCTCCTACTTGGGACCTGTCTCAAAGGTAGAAATAAAATGTATTATTAGTTGAGCAATGAGAAACAGCAAGAGAATTTCTGCAGTCATCCATAACCTGAAAGGGTTCTTCTGACAAGCAAAACTATTCTGCAGTTATTGGTGTGTGGCTGCCCATGAAAGCACAACTCTTAAAACATGCCATCTGAAAGCCTCTTCGAAAAAACCTGCTGAATCTTTTGAGAACCAAGTGAGACAGGAACATCTTTGCAGACTACTGTGACCTAGAAGGAATCAAGAAATTGCATATATAAGGCAAAAAACCCACGTCTTTTGTGGCAACAATTATAAGATACAGTATGGAGTAGAGGCATTAAAAAAACCCAAACAAGTACATTAGAGAGTGAAAGGAAATCTCCAGAACTCTGCAATGCACCAAACACATCCAGAAGGCAAAGGAAACAAATCAAACATTAGTGGCCAACACCTACTCTTAAACAGGTACCTCAGTTTATGAACCTTGCAATCTTTTAAGATTGCATGCTTAGAAGTAAGCAAGAAGTACTTGGTAACACTCGTCTTTGAGAACAACATTGCACAGTTGTCAGCTTATTCCCTGCCTTTTAAAGACCTTGTAGATTTACAGAGGTTTGTGAAGGTTTGTAGATTATATGCTTTACTTTTAGATATCTGCATTTTACTACAGTTGTTTCTAGAAACTCAGTATTAACATACTTTGTTTGACTTGAACAAGGCTGATTTCAATTGGGGTTCAAAAATTGGCTCTACAGTCCCACTGCCATAGGACGCTTTGGTAAAAAGAAAAAAAAGTGACTTTTGAAAACCAACGTTTACCCAAGTTTTAACTGAAAGATGGAACACCATCTTTCTCAGGATCATCCAGAATCTCTTCCAGTTAGGGTACAATGTCATTCCCTGTTGTTCACTCAGCTGCCCTGGAATTCCTGTGACCACGTACCAAGCTTGCCACAGTCAGCTCTAACAAAAAAAGTAAGTCAAGTCTGTTTATAATTCTCACTCGAATCACACTAGCCTTTGATACCTGCCTGAAGAAAACTCCCTTTCTAATTGTCCTCCACCACTATGCTGAGAAAGGAGAGAGATGCTACCTGCTAGAGAAAGCATAAAATGTGTCCCCTTTATTTCTTCCTATCACAGTTGTCCTCACTTGGGAAAGGGAAGGTTGTTGCTTTTTTTTTTTTTTTATTTATTTTTAATTAGCAATCTTAAAAGGAAAGACATTTGAGAAAGAAGTGTGCAAACTCTGTACATAATGAGTTACTGTCCATCAGCAAAAACTTGTTAAAATAAGTACAAAGGTGAAGTGGAAAGGCACAGAATAGAGGTTCTTGCTCACTTTCTCACAATATATTGATGAAAAATTGGGGCAACATAAGTGATATGGAAAGACACCCATTGCAGCTTTAATTCTGCGAATAGTAGACTACGCTCTCCAGGATTACCATGAGTATCCTCTCATGCTAAAAACTTAACACCAAAAGAAGCAGCTTTTTTTTTTTTTTTTTTTTTCAGTCAAGGAGTGCCAGGAGAGAGCTATTGAAGAATTTACAAGTCGACTGCACTTATCTGATTAGGCTTTTCTATATCTCCAGATTCTAGTTTCATTGTCTAAATCAGAAATCACCCAAGGGGAATGCACGACATTCTCCCATGAATTCCCCTTTCACAGAAACATGCCATCTTCACCTATAGAGTCTTAGGTCCATGGTTTTTAAAACTATCAGGGTTTGGAAAAGGTCTGGTTTTCCTCTGAGACATCTCTTCTGCTCCCCCTTTCCTCTGTATTTCTTTCACCCTGTAGGATAAAACTGGGTATAATCAAGAAAAATGGGTATAATCATGAGAAACATAAGGAGGCATAAAATAACCCAGACTCCCATCTTTGCTCAGAGATTTTCTTCTAATCTCAAGAAGATTCATTTTTTGGGGGGCTGAATGTAGGATGAGAACGGCAAGCATACATACTAGTTCAAACAAAACTTCAGAAACTAAAGACCTTTACTCTCTTGGCCCCTTTGCAATCTTTTTCATAGTGATTCAGCCATTCATCTCTTCACATTGCTTGCCCTGATCACTTACAGTAATATAATAAGGAACTAGGGAAAAAGTTTCACTAGCACTTCAAACAACCCCTTCAATACAACATTTGGAAACAAAGCGAGAACATTTAATTCAGCACTAATCAGTGGCCTTAGCACAATCAACTGCCCCTCACCCATCTAGAAGGCGTTGATTTTCCCAGCCAGCACACCTCACACACATCCAGTAAATGTGTCTCTCGAAATGCAGCTCTAGCTCTTGGTTGCTTGAATTCTGAAAGGCGAATCCCCTGAAGCAAGCCAAAATGCATTCACCGCAGGAAGGACTGCACAAAGCACTTTAGAACTACTTGCAGATAATGGAAAATGTTTCCAAAGCAGTCATGTTGCTCCTCTGATATATTCCAGTAATGAAAATTATAAAAGCCACTGGCAAACTTCAGAGTGAGATCAGAAAGTAGTAAAAATTGCTGCAGCATTGTGGCACACCTGTTTCAATTAAAGCAATTATCCTAAAACACAGGACATTCCTGCAACCACCACATCAGCCAGCAGAGTGGCTGCACTTCTATTTTCAGAGGACTATTTAACTGGCATGTAATAAGAATATTTTCACCGTTTCCGTGCTTTCTGTTGCTAATTGATAAGCTGTATGTGAAAACACTTGCTCTATCTGTATAAAATCAACCCTCACATTTTCATCCTTCCTAGTAAGCTTAGTAAGGTCTGGAGTGGGTAAAATGAGATTCTACAGAGAGGAACAATTTTTCTACAAATGGGGTGAGTTTAGGGTTGATCTTGTTGGCTTTCTAGGTAAAGAAATTCCATTGACCTTCCCTACAGCAATAATGGGAACAGAGTAAAATAAGTTCCTGGGGTACCTCTGACTGCATGGACCTGGCACAGGTAGACTACAAAGATACCTGACCGTTAAACCTTACAAATCTAACATTATGCCCAAAAAGCTGTTCCTCTTTAACTGATATGGCCTTATTCCCTTGTTTAGGCTCTCTCTGACCTGTCCTATGAATACATGCAGCTGAATATCTAAAGATGGGCAGGTTCATTTCTAATGAACAAGACTGAACACAAACACAGGATACAGAAGTCAGAACTCAGTTCTCTATTTCAAGGCAGATCTTGTCCGTTATCACAATTACAATGAGGCAAAATTTCATGTCATTACAGTCACTTCCTCACACCTTTGGTAGATTTTAGCAGAAAACAACCGGGTAATTCAGAAATGGTTTAGACATGAACAAATAAAGAAGAGAAAAATACATCATAATGACAGTATAAAGAGCTGAGTAACAGACTACTTTTTTATGATTGCTGTGGAATAAGTCTGTAGGGTCACAGAAAAACCTGAGCAAGCTGCATCAAGTTTGTATTAACAGATGCTATTGCTACTAGAAACAACCATCAC